TCCTTGGTGATCTGTATTCCTACAAAACCTCTATGTACTATTAAAATAAATTTTGCTATGTACAGTTTCATAATTTTATTTATATTTTATAATGCATCAAAGTTAAAGAATGTTAAGTATTTAGCTTTCGTTTGATCCGTCTAACTTCTGGGTGTGCTGAGAATTTTATCCTTTTCATAATTTTTTATTTCATTTGTCAGATTGGCACAGGTAATGGAGAAGATAACGGATGCAATGGAAGATATGAAGTATGAAACTGAAGGCTTATGACAGCATCTCCTAGACAATGAACAGTCAAATCTACTACAGTAACGACCTCTGCAGGAAAGACTGATCAGATTCCTTTGAGAAGTGATTCAGGGGGTCATCCTGCTTCTCTGGTGCAGGGTCTAGGCCAGGGGGTTCCCCCATTTGCTTCTCTTCAACTAATATGTAAATCCAATATTGGATTGAAGTTTCATCAAAACTAACTTTGAGTTGAACAAAAGAAGTTGGACCGTGGTCTAAGTCTTCTCGTTGTTTAAAAATGACTGGTTCCTATACTAGCACCGGTTCAAATTGATAGAATACGATTATGGACCATTCAGATCATCAGGAGAACAGGGCTTTTGCAGGTGCAAACGGAGTTGGTGTTCCAGTATCGTTTCCACCTCGATGGGGACAGGGGTTGTTCAAATCTGTTGCAATTTCTTCTTTTAGTTCGAGCCTGCAGAAATAAAACAATGTCAGTTTTCTGATTTCTGGAGGTTAAAGGGATAGTTGAGTTCTGTTTTCAGAGTGCAAATGCCTTCAAAGTGCATGGTTATTGCTCTTATTCTTATCTATGACATTTCTAGTGCCCTTTTAGGACCTTAAATTGCTATGAAGGTAATTTTAGACCCCAAAATGTGTGAAATTTATCCAATACGATCATACCAACTCAGCTCCACTTAAAAAAAAAAATATGGTGACCATTAATTAATTAAAAATAACAATACATGGGCCGGCTGGTTGTGCGTAATATAACCGACACGAAAAAGCCAACAGAAAAGCCAACATCGGCATTGGCTGAAACGTAACGTAAAAGGCGCCATTTCGTTTTTTCAACGGCTTTCAAATTATTGAATATTTGTGGTGGTAAACAAGTATTAGATATCATTATATTTATGGATATTTCAGCCGTCCCTGAACCGATTTTGATCAAAGAAAGATGATTTTGTCATTTAAATTGTATGTTCTTTCAAATTTGACACTCAGTTTTTCATTATCTCACAACAAAATTATTTTGTGTAGCGCCCTATGCAACAGAACTCAACTATCCCTTTAAAGGGGAAATCTAATGTACCCCGATTTCAAGTTGGTTTTAATAAAAGCAGAAAACTAGTGAAAGTTTGAGCAATATCCGATTCAAAATCATTTATTGTTCAATAAAATGAAGCTTGTAAAAAAATCGATCCAATGACAATTCATTTTCTTCGAGATGTGAATCACACTCGGATGTGCAGTGGGCATAATTTGAGTGTTTAGAAAGGGGGAAATTCAGGTAGATTGAGCAGGACCTCTTGAGATAGACGCGTTTTGTTTTCCATTGGGATTTGTTTGACACTCCTATCGCAATCCATAAAGTACTTCAACTGTTTTACCTTTTGTATGAGAATGTGCATATATTCTGTACAAAATAATTTGTTTATGTTATTGTTATGTGTATTTGTTGTGGGAGCAGGGGGGTGTTTCACAAAGATCCTAAGTTGAACTTATCTCTAAGTTGGACTTAACAATTATGGAAAGCCGTTAGCATCTTTGAAAATATTTTGTTAAAGTTATTTTAAAGGCATGACAATGTTGATTCAAATCATTCATATTTTCTATTATCATGCAAGGTTTCATTTTCTTGATGTGGAATTTATGAAAAGTCTAAAATACTTGAGTTTTTGCCTTTGAATATATTTTATTTAAGGCGACAAATGGCTCTCCATAATTTATAAGTCCAACTTAGAGTTAAGTTTGACTTAAAATCTTTGTGAAACACCCCCAGGACTCCCAACTTCTATGGACCAAAGTCTCGAACTACAAACCTAACCCTTGCCCTTAATCGAACTTAAAGGTAAAGACCAGTTATGGTCATGCGATTGCATTGTGAAAGAAACGTTGTGGAATCGATCAGAAAAGGTTAATCATCTAGCATCTAGCATCTAGCATCTGCAAGGTTCTGGAATCATCAAAATGATAAGAAATTTGGCCCATTCTTCGTAAAGTTACAAGCACTATACACAGAAAGATGTATATGGGACTACCCTATATCTCTCACAGACCATGAGAGAAACAAATTCACCAAATATATGAATTAGTAGGTGGTTTCCCGGCATATTTTTTATCATCATGTATTAGTCAAAACATATTCTTTCACATGATTGGTAATGAGAGCTTCCATTTCATTTTTTGAAATTGGGGCGTTTCCAATACTGGTCTTTACCTTTAAAATAAATCCCAAACCTAATCTTTGGTGTGATTTTGTTGTCAGCTAGCTCACCGTATTAAGTCTATTCTGATGGAAAGATGGTACATGTACAGAAAACCGTGTATTCATGTGTAACTAAAGAAGGAGGAATCCACTCGGCATGATATTGTAAGCTGAAAGTAGGACATGAATTTCTTCAAATAATAATTTAGGCAGCGTTGTTTAGGCCATGTTTAAAAAAATTTCTGGCCACAAAGATCTACACGACATACAAGTACAAAAGGAAAAGAGAAAGAGAAAAGTTGTGTTTACAATGTACAGTGTACAACTGTTTTGTACTTTTTATTGTACTGTTACTCACCAAAAAATGACTTAAATGCATGCTACATGTACATGTTTTTAGAAAAAATGTCTATTATACAATTTGATGAATAAATCATGAATCTTAGATCCATATGCATATTTATCGTCTTTTTTATGTAAATCAGAGCAAACTTATTTCTCCCCGCATCTCATAGTCATTTGATAAATTACACTGCGACTGTCCCATTGGTTAGTAAAGAAAAATACCTTCAAAGCTCCCTTAGCAATGGTCGTATCCAAGATGAATCGAATTTGAAAGCATGCTTTTTGATGCATTAACAAGTCCTTTTAAAAAGAACATAGCTTCTCATGTGCAAGGTATGAAAAATTGTAATAAATAATCATTTTTAATATTCAATAATCTAGTTGTCATCACCAATTGTGCATTTCCCCCCTCTGCATCGGGTTATTCATTAGCCATTATCTTTACAGAAAGTAGAAGCTCCAATGAACTTTCTCAATACAAACATTGGCCAGCTTCAGAAAGATTAAATAGACCAGCCTAAAATCAGAAACTTGACCATGCAAGGGATTTTCACACACTTCAAGAACGGTTCAGATTCGCAAGTCTCTTGCGAGTTTCTTTAAGTGAAAGTGGCCATCCTTAATTTGCAAAAGTTTCTGGTTTTATGGTAATGTAATCAAATAACATTCATACCCATACAGGACTGAATGCATGCCATGGAATCAACAATACACACAGTATTAATTATTAAAAATGCTCCTGATTTTCACCACCAATTCTGTTTAAAGATTTTGAATCATGTATACAATTCAAATTTGTAAACTTGTTAAACTAGTACTTATTGAAGCTGCGATTAGTCTCAATTTGCATCAATCCTTGCCAACATCGGAAGGAAATTAACTCAATTGCAGAGTTAAGACAAATATGTGTGCAACGCTTTCTACCAAGCACAACCAAGTGGGTATGAATTTGAGATGCCATCAAGACAGTTAGTGTGCAAGCCATACTGCTATGTTGATACGAAGCAATTAAACGTTCAATTACATTAATAAATTGCATACAAAATTCTCAATGATCTCCTGCAAGTACAAGCTAGCTTCTTGTCGCAATGTTCCAACACAGTCTGTTTACACATAACTTTTGATGTATGAGCAATGTTTAGAGGATGTATGAGCAATGTTTAGAGTAAATATCTTGCACAAATCTGGTAGGCAAATCATAACCATCCTCAATGAACACAAAAAAGGAAGTTATTTACATTGGATAAATGATGAAAGTGATCACTGGCTGGAGAGTTTGGTTTGAGAAGAACCCCTGGTACCAAAAGAATTGGGAGAAAAAAAAGTCAACCTCCAAATATGTATATAGTAGGAGACGAGCCTGTAGGTCCCGTGACCAGACTCGGGGAACAAAGGTTTGAAAGTGTTTTTGTGTTCCCTGATGAATACCGAACAATTTTGACTTGGGCTGCCCCCTTGAAAATCCCAGGCATTTTCGTGAGGGGTCAACAAAGGTTACACAGGGATAGAAATTAAAATAGTTCCAATCGTATCAATATGCATATCAAATTACTCGTCTGGTCATGAGGATTCCAAAAATGTATAGTTTGCTATACCTCCGACCTTAAATAAGGGCGCTATGGTCAAAAACGTTGAAAGGTCAACACACTTTTGAATGGTGGTCAAATTCACCAACACAGTAAACCTTATCAAGTTGCATATCAAATTACTCGTCTGGTCATAAGGATTCCAAAAATGTATAGTTTGTTATACCTCCGACCTTAAATGAGGGCGCTATGGTCAAACCTTTGTTCCAAGAGATTGGTCACGGGACCTACAGGCTGGTCTTCTACTAATATCCCATTACACTCTAACATCTTGACAATCACATGTAAAGAAAACATAGTGATATCATGCAATCATCTAATACCTACTCTCAAGTACAAAATATAATTAAAATAGAGGTGCCTCTTGAGGAAATTCTTAAAAAATTAAATACAAAAAGAGACATTTTCAGTTTAATACAAAAAATTTTGCACACCCTTTTTTGCTTTCTGCACCATTCTGAAGGAACCTAAAGCTACGGTCACAAAGGTTTGTGCGATCGATGCACTCGTACGAATCTCTGTTTTCCATGATCTTACCGAATTTCTTTTGTCTGAAAATTGTTTGTACGAAGTTCGTAGCAGTTCGTAATGGCATTTGTGACCGAGGCTTTAAAAGGCAACCATCAAACTTGAATAAATTTAAACCCAAGGGCCTATATTTAACCAATTTGCCAATAGGCCTGGCGCTGGGCCTCAGTCACGTTTAAAATCATTTGCAACATTCAGCTTTTGATCAAGTATAACCGCAGCAATGAAATCAATTATACATGTAGTCGAATGTGGACTACAGAATTTCAACTACTAATTCCCATCAGTGAACTATGACCAACGAACTGCCCAGGACAGTGGAATTTCATGGGGGGGATGGTGATGGGTTTGCTTCAATGATAATTTTTCATAAGCTCCAAAAGAAGAGACCAATTTAACAAGTTCATAAAAACAGGTATTGGTGCTGATCTGGCAATAAAATTGCCTCACAAACTTATTTTTTGAGCAATGAACTACCTCCAGTCCTTAACACCAAGACATTACACATACATGTAAATGGGAAAATTAGAATACAAACTAAATACCAAGGATTGGATGTAACATATTAAATACAATGTATTCTTAACTACAACTGAAACTAAACAAATCTTTGCATTGGAATTTATGGATTGTAATGCCAACTTCTTGAATTATTCACGATTTCAAGAACGTTATGAATCCACCTGATATTGCAAATGATACTAGATATAGGGGTTCGCACCAACCAATTGAAGACATGGCCTGTGAGGAGTGTTTCTTTTGAAATACATTCTTTGTAGTGGAGCGAATCCGAGGTATTTTCTCTCGTGAACAATTAAATTATATGCGTTAATGTATCCGATAACTGTATGAAGTTGATAACACTATCATGGCTTGTATCGGCCCAATATGAGAAAACTTATACTTCTCATTTTAATTATTAATGTTTTATATTCCATGAACTTCTAGGGAAAAAATACCATGTACTTGCGAAGAACATGAACAAAATCTTGTATTGAGAGAAAAATATTCCATGGACGGAAATTCCATGGAGGCCGTCTACATAGAAAGAATGACGAGGTATCTCTCCCTCGACTAAGGGGGTCAAAAAAGAGCTCAAAACTTTGCTCCTCTTGATAAATGGGATGAAAACAAATGTCAGTTCTGTGCCTGACAGAAGTCCAAACTGGCCCAGGCTCTGGGCAACAGTAAGAAAGTCCGGTAATAGATCAAATTCTTGAGAATGTTTCCACGCTTGGCTGGTCTCACCGCAAAGCTGGTCTTGTTAAGAGTAGTCCCGTGTTTTAGGGACTCTCTTAGGACTCCTGCTTGGACAGGGCATCAAAGTCTCCAACCAATTCTAAGGGTTAAAAAAAAGATGAAAATGGAAATCAAATTTGAATATATTTTTTTAAAACAAGATTTTGCAGGATTCTAAAAATATCATGCAAGATATTGTCACAGTGTAATGTACCGGCATGTACACAAAGCTGATTGATGCAAAGACTGGATTGTTTCACAACAATTTCACGACTCATTGAATATTCCAGTTGGTAAAGAAACATTCACACCAAAAATGTACGCTAACTTTTGTTGAAGACCTTTAACTCTCAAGATAAAGAAATAAGTTTTACAAGTTTTACAAGTCTCTCCACTCCCCTGCATTCATCTTACTAAGAACAGAACCAAGTCTTGTCATTACAGCACAAAATTGCACATTTGTAATACAAAACAAAACACAGAAACATTTAAAAATTCCAGTGGGTGTAAAGAAGCAAAATAGATTATTTTTTAAGAACTTACCCGGTACATCCTCTTCCTCCTCATCAATAGTGTCTGGTTTAACTACGGTTCCCTTGCCTCCTGTCTCTTCTACGGGCATGCTATCTGGCATTTTACTTCCAAAAGTTGTACCATCCATGCCCTGTAAGGTAAGCATGTATAAAACAACAGAGATATTACTAATTTGAGCATATTTAGAGAGATTAGTCACAAAAACAAAAAAATTGTCAAATTACATTACAGGAGGAGTCCTCTTTTCTTTGACTGCATATTGCTGTATCATCATTCTTCCACACATCCTCATAAGTGGAAATCGATGCAAAATAACAAACACCGTGAATACATAGAATCTTCATATTACGGGCCAAATGCTTTTGGAGCTGCACCTTAGAACAAACCTTGCCAAAGTCTGATTTGCTTCAAACTGAGCTTTCCATAACCGACCAGGACTTTGCAAAATGATACTTTTGTAAGTGGTTCATAGTAAGGACATTGCGAAAATCAAGGGGTTATATTTCACTCTTCTGCTCACATCTCAAAGAGCAATTCTTGGACACTGTTTGTTAGTTTTTGTTATTGCTGACACAATACCTACCCTCGGACCCCGCCCAGGCCCGCCCACTCCGTGAACGGAGGGACACCATGCATGTTCCCAAAATGTCCGGTAAAGGGGTAATTTTCACGCACCAAAGTCTGGCTCGTAGTACACAAAAATCCAGCCCGTATTGACTTTACACACCGGACTTAGGGGGGTGTTTACAAAAGGAGGGAACATGCATATGCGTACCCCAAATAACACTGAGTGGGGGGCCGGGCCTCAGACCAATCAGTGCAAGAAATGAGAGCAAAGTTGGTACTTCCTCAACTTACCAATTGGTTGATGATGCTAGGGAGCATCTCTGCTAGCTGCTTGTTCTCAGCATGCCCACTGATTGCAAACGTGTTGGCTGCTAATGATGCCTGAACTTTAGGGTTGTTGAAGTGAATCACAGTACCATCATCTTTGATCATATTTACCTGTTGGTATAAAATAAGAACATTTTCTTGATGTTACAGATGCAATATACCGTAAATCTCTGTGTATAAGACGCACTTTTTTTCCGTCGGAAAAAATCAAAAGTCAGGGGGTGCGCCGTATACACAGGTACAGGATATTTCGAGTTCTCAAAATGCTACTTTTTAATGGTTTCCGAAAAATCTCTGTGTCTCAACATGAATTACATAATGCAAATAAAGAATATGATCTACTTAAGTTAAACTACGTAAATATATGGATATATTTTTTTTGAGGGGGGAGGGGGGGGGGGGGCATCTATTCTATTTACAACCAACCCCATCCATCAGCAAAGTGAGAGAAAACATGAAAAAAAAACTAAAATTCACTGGATCTATGGAATGTCTCCATCATGGCCAATTACATATATCAGGGGTGATAGTGAGCACTTAAAAAAAAATAGGTTTTTTGTTTTCCCCTCAACCACGCCCCCTTGAGTAAAAACAAAAAAAAGAGGATTCGCGGGAAAAATGGCATCTAACAACATTCCCCCCTTTCGAGTAAGAAAATTGGGGAAAAAATAGGGCAAAATAGGGCAAAATAGGGAAGAATAGAGAAAATAAGAGGGAAATCGGAAAAATCAGGATAAAATAGGGAAGAAAAAACAAATTGGAAAAAAATTGAGGAAAAATAAAAACAAGGGAAATGCTCTCAGTGGTCTCGCCTGCATAACGCAATTCAATATGATAACCAGAACGTCAATGACGTAGCGCTCATCCGCATCTTGCAACAGCATATATCGTAAATTTTATGTGGTACACTTTTGAACTGGTCAAAAATAAAAATTTGATGCCCTGGAAGGGACATAATTTCATTTTATTTGCATTAAGTACCATAAATAATCAATGGACCAAAATCTCACAATTCTGTGTAGAAGTTAAGTGTTCCAAATTTAGCTCTACCAGATAAGGCAAACCAAATCAAAATCAGTCAAGAAATGAGGGAAAAGAAGCAATTTTTGTTATTTTTGGAATAAATTTGCATAAATTACCATAATTAATTAATGGAGAACAATTTCAAAATTCTGTGGAGAAGTTTAGTGTACCAAAGTTAGCTCTACCATATAAAGCAAACCAAATCAAAATCGGTCGAGAAATGAAGGAGAAGAAGCTTTTTTTGTGATTTCGAATAAATTTGCATAAATTAGCATAGATAATGAATTTCATGATTCTGAGTAGAAATTTTAAATCCCCCTCCTAGCCCTATCATATGAAACAATCAGAATCAAAATTGGTTGAAAAATAACGAAGAAGCATTTTGAAAATCTTGATGTTGACGCCACAACAAAGTCTAAGTTTGTTGACCTTAAATGACCTTTGACCTTAACTTAGTGACCTGAAATTCTACTCACATGATTGGGGAGACTTGATAACCCTAAAGTCCAAGTTTCATTGACTAAGAACTTATACTTTCAAAATTATATCAAAAATTCAAAAACTAAACCTTAGGTTAAGTTTTTGATGTTGACGCCGCTGCCGCCGCCGCCATCACCGGAAAAGCGGCGCATATGTCTCGCTTTATGCTACGAAGGCGAGACAAAAATCGGGAAACCGATTTAAATCAGGTTTTCATCAGGTCTGATATATCCAAGGAACACGTTTCAAACTACAAATAAAATGTCAAACAGTTTGCATACCAAGTCACAGAATTACTTCTCATGAAGAGAAAAAAAAAACTTTGCAGAGTACGTTCTTCCTAAAAGATAAATCACTTGCTCATCTTTTAATTATGAAGTCGGAAAAGAAGACACCGCTTACCTCTTCAATACCTGGTATATTATTTACAGCTAATTTTTTTAACGATGTCTGTAATTTCTTGTCGTCTGTGGTTGCGGTTTTGTGGAGGACCTTCCTTTTTCTCCTGATAGTACCTTTACCACCTATTCTGACCTGCTTCTGGAGCTTTTGTAACTTATCGGGATTCATCTTGGCTAATGTGATGAGGTGCTAACAGCTGACTCCTATTATCTGACCTGTACAATACATTGGAGGACAGAAATATGAAAATCCTGGTAATAATTTGGAGGAATACAAATAATATTTAGCGGGATAACAGTAACAGTAATTACAAATCACTCAGAAAACAAGTACATGTATAAGTTGGTACATGTGCATATAATGGGGAGGGAGGGGGAAGGGGGGGGGGAGGGGGGAGGGAGGGGGAGGGGTGGTGGGTATAATTATGACACTGTCTCAGGATTGAAGCCATCTTCAGAAAATATTTATTTAACCAGGTAAACTCTGGATTTAAAAAAAATTTCACCATGGTTTTGATAGAAATGGTGTTCTCTTTCAGTTTCCCTCTCACTTTGACTGTAGCTATCAGGCTCAAACCAAATTAAGATTGACACAAAAATTGTCTTCTATCATATCTATATTTTAATGTCCATTTCGTAAAAATCTGTATTTAAAAAGACACCTTTTTTGTTTATATTTTCTAGTGGCATTTTTTGTTAATCACTATCAAAAAGTTCTTTGACTGAAGTTAGATCCCATATTTCTAAGATCTACCTCTTTCGAATGAGAAGGATTTTAGTGACTCAGGTTTTATCGTCGTCGGTCTTGTCACTCACTTGTGTGGGCGTCATATTCCTTCTGCTACAACAATTATTGCAAACCGCTGCACATTTACAATACAATACAATTGCATACTGTAATAACGAAGGTGTGCTGGTCCGAGAATAAGGATCGTCTTCATTTAAACGCGGACTGATGCGTCTTAAAAAAAAATGATCGTCTGCATTTTCGCAGGCGTTTCAAACATTTTTGATTGGCACATTGGCGATGCAAAAAATGGATTTCGCAATGATTTTCTTGATGCATTTTACATTGTTTTTGTACAGAGATCTTCACATTTTGAGCAATAAATCCTTGGAAGTTGGGAAGACTGACAACCCATGAAAGTAGAAGGAGAAATAGGGTTATTTTCCCCCGGGGAATCCATTTTTGGCATCGCCAGCGGGCGGTTATGCAAAGCTACCAAGTATCACGCATTATGCGTGACATCACGCATTTCGAGGGCCTGAAAATGCTCTTATGCACGACGCGCGCGCTAGATTTTGAAAAACGCTATACCTCATACGTGTGTTATACCCTCGCACGCCAAATCATGAAAATGTCACGCATTGCCGATCTTTGAACTTGGCGTCTCTGGGTTATGTAACCCGAAACCTGCAGAGCGCCGATAAAAAAAGACGTCTGCAAAAATGCAGACAATCCTTAAATAATTGGAGGACGCATTTTGTCCACGTTTATGAGGACCAGCGCCCCTAATAGTAATGGCAAGTGTGCGTGAAGTTATGGTTGCTGTGACCTGTGAGAAAGTGCATTTTAAAATGTCTTCGTTTAGACTATTCAAGGAAAAACAACTTTAATCATGGCCAAGGCATAATCTGAACTAGACCTATTCAATTGATCATGGAGATTAATTTGATTTTTAGATATATCTCCATGCCGGAGTTACGGGTAAAAATGGATACGAAAGTACACTAGCCAGAATCATGGGCATCCGCTATCATGCGCATGCTGATATGGCATGGCGCGACGGCGCGGCACGACTACCAAGTACCATAACTGATATTGGCCCTGCTATCTACGCACTGAGAACATGCCGGGAGCTACGGCGGACCACCACGGTCACAAACCCACTCGAGTGTAGCTTCACGTGCACACAAATGCACACTTATTCACATACACACCCAGGTAAAGTAGTAAGTTTCAGTACTTTAGATTTGCTCAATTAAAACTTTGAAATAACGTAGAAGTTGCACTCAAGATAAATATTAAAATATGATAATGTTAGTGTTAGCAAAATAACAACAAAGATTGAAAACTAGACATTAACAAAAATATACCACTTACCGGTATGTGACCACGAGGCTTCGTGCAAATCCAAAATGGTAGAATGTGACGTCACGAGACTTTAACTATTTATCAATCTAAATTCTACATCTTTACAAATAATTTACTTAAATACTTACAGTTAAAAATAAAATTTGAAGTAAATTAATATTTTTGCATATTAAATATATTTATTTAATAAAATTTGTACGTTATTGAATTAAAAAAGAAATAAAATTCTTCCTTTGAATTTAAGGTTCTAGAAAGAGTCTATGAATATTTATCAGATGAATATTCATATAATATTCAGACTTTGTGATATTCCTTCCCGGAAGTAGAAATTCATATAGTAAAGAGAAAGTCATTTAATTACTTCTACAGCTCAGTAAAATATCACTGAGCAGTGAAAATTCCCAATGAAAATCTTTTTTTCAACATAGCTGACAGTTTTCCGTCACATTGTAGGAGTATAAGTGTTCATGGGTGACTTGAAAGCTGTAAGTTTTCTTAATGGAAGAGCTGGCGCGCCACAAATACAAAGTAACGCGCGAAATATATAAGCAGCTGATCCCGAGATCCCGTCTGTCAAAATCACCAACTACGCGACTCGCCCGAATAGCAGAATCCAGACAGAATCGTTCCCTTCCATCGAGTTAATATTACCGCTTTTCTCTGCATCTATATTTAGATATTATATCGGAATAACTTCATCATTCTTCCTTAGCAATTGGTATTAATGAGATATTTTGTTTTTCTTAAATCAACAAAAAGATAGTTGGGTATCCAGGCGCGTACGCAGGGGGTTAGGGGTTGGGGGTTGGGGTTAAACCCCCCCTTTAACTTTTTTATGTGTGTGTTTTGTGGGAACCCCCCCCTTTTTTATATAAAAAAAAAAAAAAATGGGTGCCCTAAAAAATCAGACCTTACCCCCCCCCCCCCCCCCCAACGAAACGAAATATGGATCGGCCAAATTTTCAGATTTTGGGACACACAAATAAAAAAATGTTACTGGCTGAGTTGTTGCGTAATTTTCAGAGTGATTTTCAAATTTTAAAACCCCTCCCCCCCCCCCCGAAAAAATCCTGCGCACTTGTCGGGGGGTATCCATAAATAGCCCTGTCTCTTTAACAACAAAAAATTGATAAAAATAGTAGATGGGATCGAGCGAAGTATTTTTTCCCAATGCATCATGCATGTTATATTCTTGCCGGAATTTGGCTGATTCTCCGAGCCCTCGATGGGGGTGGGAGCAAGAGCAAGCTTTCCCATCATTGTTTAACAGATTTTTTCCAGGAATTTTGCAAGTTCTGGTCAGGATCTTCATGGGCCACCTTTTTCAAAAGTTGGGTCTGCAGCCGCTGGCAAATATGAGACATTATGTCATTAATAAGTTAATTTAGTCATCAAAACCACACTATTATGAGTGGAGGGTCAAGCCGGTCTGCTCCCCCCCCCCCCCCCACCACGCACACACACTCAATGTGGGCTCTGTGGAACTAGAAGCCGAAGAAATCAATCTCACTATTGAGGTACGAGTTTTTGATCTTTTGCAGAGTTATCTGGGGGCGAATCCTTTGTTATACATCTAGACGATTCAAACGTGTACAATTAGTGTGCATAACATTCAAATTTTCTCGTGATACGTGAGGCTTCATTGAATTTATTCTTGCATTGATACCTCTCCTCTCCATTTAAGCCGGGGTTACCATTGACATTGTACTGAATACTGAGGTCGGAATGTTATCTCTTTTCACAATTTTTTGATTAGAAGTAAATAGAAAAGGAACACTCTACTCGATATTGAGGATTAAAACGGGGTGAGACACTAGACACAGGGTCAGAGACCGGCTTCAGCTTCAGCTTCCCTCATTCAATTCATGAATTGGATTGAGTTTTATTTCAGCTGAACTTCACTGTCCTCATTGATTCAGCTCAGAATCGTCGTTGACTTCCACAAGTGCGAGTGAAAGCATCAAGAGTCATTACACGTACGATTTTAGGCTTTAAAATACATCCAAGTCTCATTTAGACAGGTTCATCCTGCTCATTTCATTCACACGCAGCCTTTAGTTTACGAAAACATGTTCGGAACGGAAGAAGACAAACCCGGATCGAGTTCAGCCGCCGACATGGCAGATTTAGAAGAAGACAGCGGGTAAGCAATTTTGATTTCTTGCTCCAAGTCTCTATAATCTAGTCAATTGATGAGGAAGCACTAAACTTTCTTAACACCAGCAGTGAAAAATAAGCAGGTTTACACTTTACAGCCCAGGATTAGGAAAGTGAAAACGATGTTGATTAAAAAAAAAGAATAAAATTAAGAACTGATTGGTTGCTTCTTCTTCTTCTTCTTCTTCTTCTTCTTCTTCTTCTTCTTTTTCTGGGATACTCCTCAACGTTCCGTAAGGAACCAAGCGAGGAGGATGAGGGGGTGCGCACTGTGCTTGTTTAGTTCTTATTGCTTGCTGTCTCGGCTCATGTCCATTTCTTTTTGTTGATTACAATTTATACAAAGTCTAAACTTTGACAACTAGACTACACACACTAATGCTCCAGGTCCAGGACAAAAAAAAAAAGGGATGCCTTTGAAAGTTTGATGGTAACTTTGAAATATATTTCAAGTGAGATTTCTCTCAACAAAAAATTTTGTTAATAATCCAGTGACTTTAGTTTTGCTCTTTGACACTTTTTCTCTTTTATTACAGGCCAGAAGAAGACGTTGATGCCGAAGCTTTGGAATTGATGGGTCAGGGCAAGAGGAATCTAGTGGTCGGTGACCCTCCAGCTGCAGTCCAGTGTTTTCAAGAAGCCTGTGAATTGCTGTACGATCACATTTTCAGTAGACTTTTTTTTTTTACTACCGACAGGTCCTTGTCCCTTGACAAATTCTGAATAATGTCTAAAGTTGAACAATCTTCCATAGAACATATAGGCCTATATTAAATTAATGTCATTAAAATAAGACTTTTCGGAAAAAGAAGGAAAATTGAGAAATGAGTAGATTGACCTAAATACAGATTAATTTTGGTCTAATATGAAAATGTAGGAGAAGTAAATTGATTTAATTGAATCCCCTAGATAAACATGCATTTATTATGACAGGTCTTTAAAAAAAACTTATTTGGAATATCCCAAAATCAAGAAATTTATGAAAGTGAAGTTCACCAGTTTTATAAGCACCATGATGATTGCAGTAGATCACTAATCAGGTACATTCAACATTGTACCCTTACAACCTTGTACATTGCAGAGCCTCCAAATATGGTGAGACTGCTGAGGAGTGTGGTGATGCTTACTACCAGTACGGATGCTCGCTTCTTGAGCTGGCTAGCATGGAGAATGGTGTCCTTGGCAACGCCCTGCAGGGGGTCCCGGACGAGTCCGCAGACTCCGCTGACTCGGACGACGAAGAGGGAGAACAGAAACCCAGTGGAAGCAATGTGGAAAGTGCAGACAAGTTAGAAGGTAAAGTTAACCCTTTAACATGGAACTTCTGCGAGAGAGGGAAACTCCCAATTCGGGGCTATAAAGATGGATGTGATTTTTCTAAGGGGATGAGTTAAAGTGGGTGCCACCATCAGCTTTTTTGTGAAGTAGCCAACGGTTTATTTAAACGAATATGGAACTGATTTTGTCATTTTACCTAAAGGAAAAGCTGTGATCAAACTATAAAGATAAGAATAAAGAAAAACGTGAGAGAAAGAAAGTCAACACATTTATCTGAGTCAAGGATGTGTAGAATTAATGGGAGGTTGGTTTTTTAGAATTCCCTGGTAATTGATGGTTGTGATTATTAGCTGTATCAGGTAATTGAATTTCTTTTGTCAAGATAAAATAGCTTTGTGTTGCCAGTACCAAATTGTCTACTGTGAAAGATTGCAAAGCATTAACTATCAGTTGCTTACAATGCTTTTTGGGTGTGTCATTAACTTGGATGTGACATTAACAGTAAAAACCCTGTAGTTTCTTTGAACATTTGGGACAAGCATTCATTTGCTCCCTCTTTCTTATTCAGATTGAACCAATCAAGATCCTTTGTATGAGGCTTACTAATACTATTGCAGTGAACATAAGCTTGAGAATGTAATCACATGTTTGGCATACTTTTGTGTGAATTGAATGCCGGAATACAACATAGCCATGTGTTCTTTAATAACAATGAGATTGTGTGACCCGTATCCTTTCTTTGAAGTGATACTAGAGTCTTGCCAACTAACTATGGGAATGTATGCTTAGGCTTCTTGTTGTTATTTTCTTCCGTGGAACATTCCTTTTGATTGTTGGAATGCATTGCAACAATCTTTTATCTAATATCTAGGTCTAGTCACATTGTTTTCTGAGCATGATGAATGAATTGTTCTTTTTCCAAGACTTAAGTTCTGAATGTAATTTATTGATGTTTTCTCCTGTAGAACATACCATTAGTAATACTTCTGATTTACTCATTGTTTTGTAGAAATCCGATATTACTTTTTATTTTGTATATTTGCATGTGGGTCAAATCTCTTCTTTCCTCAGTTTTTTTTTTCTCCACTCCTAGAGAGTTTGTATTGGCAAGATAACATTATTTCTGTATACATGTACTGAATTCATTGATCATTACCATAGCTCAAAGTTGATCATAGACTACCATACTTGCATATAGACCTACGGGCAGCATAAGTGATTGCATTGAGCAAAGAGTAAGACACAATTGCTCAATTGTCAGTTATCCATGATGTTGACACTGGATTTTGCAATACCATCAAACTCAGATTTCTGCATATAGCCACATGTTATTATTTAATCTGCTTTTATATGAGAAGGTTTGATTTAATATCAACTAAAATATTATGAGAACTGCCTTGAGCACAAGATTGTAGAGGCTCTTTTCACTATAACAACTTCTCTGTTTTGTCCTTCCAAATTTACTATTCTCTCTCTCTTTCAGCCAAAGAGAGAGAAGAGGTGGCCCAGCAAGTAAAGGATGCCCTTGAGGCTAACTGCGAAAGTGAAGAATCCGAAAAGGAAGATAAGGGAAAAGAAGGGGAAGGGGGAGAAGATGAGGAAGAAGATGAGAAAGAAGATGAGAAGATGGAGGAGGGTGGGGATAATAAAGATGCAGAAGCTGCAAAGAAGGG